GTACAAGCTGGAAGACCTGCTAGGAGGGCGTTGCAATAGTCGATGCGAGAGATAACCATGGCCTGTACCAGAAGCTGGGTGGCGTACTGAGTGAGGTAGGGCCTGATTTTCCTTATGTTGTATAGAGCAAAGCAGCACGACCGAGCGACAGCAGCAACATGGTCTGAAAAGGACTGCTGGTCATCAGTCATGACACCCAAGTTTCTCACCACCTTGGTTGGAGTGATGGTTGCGGAGTCAATTTGTAGTATGGTGAATAGATTGCTTGGCTGGCCCCAGTGATACAAAACACACAGTTCAACCACCAATTAATGTCCTTATCCCAGTTCAAACCTCCTAGGAGTCCATCTTTTTGTGTCCCAGTAAGCAAACAGAAAATACTCCGTTTTAATAGACAAGCTTAGTAATTCCCCGACGACACCGGGTTCCTCCTCCTCTTGGTGGCTGTGTGTGTGACGCTGGCGGCGATCGCTACAATACGCTTACCTTACTACACGTGTCTGTTGTGCATTTGTCGGGGCCGTTGTACAACAAGAAGGCAAGGTGTGCAGCGTAACGTGCAGACGAAGCATCAACTTGGTCAGACTGCTTTAGTCTCAGGTGTCATGTGACCAGAGTGTAATCGCAGCCTTTGCTATTAGAAAATCTCGTTTTATTACATCGCACATGCCTTTAATCGTTCAGCCCTACTCCCTGGCTACTTCCACTCCACTTGCGCGTTCATGCAGAGGGTCCGCCACATCGAGCGCCATCTGCAGCTAATGAGGGCTGGTGGCTTGTTAAACATCTTTTAACCTTTTAAACATCCAGGAGGTGTGTATGTGTCTCTGCTACGTGTCCATAAACAGCTACTTTAAAGTACTGTGGTACATAGCCTGTTGATAAAGATAGATTGATCATATCTAGTATGGAGGTGCTGACTAAGGGTAAGTGCTATTGGTTGGCCGCACTCGCATAGCACTAAGATCATAAAAGTGTTTAATGTATGGCAATAGCCTACTTTATCTGTATCCAAGAGCCGCTGCTCATAATTTCTAGCAGGAAAAAGAGTTTGAGCAAAAGCTGGCTGCAAAGCTGTTATTTAGCTTTGACCTCTTTAGTCAGCATGTTCCTGGCCTGATTGTACAGGACTCTTTCCCCACTTCTGAAGGCCTCCTCCTTGGTCTGACGAAGGTGCCGAAGCTGAGTTTTGCTGTGAACCAGAGTTTTTGGTTGTTGTATGTGTGGAAGGTTTTAGTCGGCACCCACACGTCCTCACAAAAACTGATGTAAGATGTCGCAGTTAGTTCGTCCAGGTCAGTGGCTGCAGCCTCAAAAACACTCTAGTCAGTGCAGTCAAAGCAGGCCTGTAACTCCAGCTTTGACTCGTTCGTCCGTCTTTTGGGTGGGATAAGATGAACCAGACAGTGATCAGAGTCCCAGGGCTGCACGGGGGACAGAGCGATAGGCGTCCTTTAATGTAGTGTAGAAGTGGTCCAGTGTGTTGGTGTCCCTGGTGGAACACTTAAAATGCTGTCTGTACTTGTGCTCTGTTGAAGTCTCCAAGAACAATAAGCAGGGAGTCTGGATGTTTTTTCTCCACGTTAGTCATCTGGTCTCAATAACACAGGCCTGAGGTGGAATGTAAACATGATTTTTCCAACACTGTGACCTCTCTGCACCAACCTTTGTTTAAACAGAAACAGTCTGTTTTCCCTTGCTTTTCCCGTGAGCTCCCTTTCGCGATCCACGCGGATGAGATTAAATCCCGGTAGATGAAGTGCGCAGTCCGGGATGCGCTCGGTGAGCCAGGATTCGATGAAACAGAGGGCAGCAGATCTGCAGAAGTCCAAGTTAGTTCTGTTGAGGAGAAGCAGTTCGTCCATTTTGTTGGCCAGAGAGCGGACATTCGCCAACCCCTGCGGCGTTTCCGAAGGATCCCAAACAGAGCTGCTGCTCTTCCAACTAATAACTCCAGGGTTCGTTAAGGAGTGGTGGAATAGTATGAGCAATTTAAAGTCCAATGTTTAAGAGTTCTTCTCTGGTAGATTTTACCAGAGAGGGACAGCAGAAAACAGTGTTAATAAACCAAAACACACAAAGCACTACAGAGCGTAATCCCGAGGCGGGCGTCTGTGGCGCCATCTTGAGTAATGATGTAACTCAACAACGGCAACAAAAATATTTGTCATAGAATGTGCAGAAAGTTTTGAACATGAGCAGATAATCTGCTGAAACACAGGACACTATAACTGAATTAAAATTAACTGATTTATCATTAAGGTAAAAAGGTGCCACATGTAAAGACTTGAGTCATGCCGTGTGTTTGAAATTATATGAGAAAAGTTGATCTACTGGAGAAACATATCTCACAGCAATACAATACGCCCAAGAGCTTTACTGCATTATAGTACAGTTTTTTATATTTTAAACAGTCTTCTGAATATTGTGTTTCCTTTTATATAAATAAAGACATTTATTCAATAAATTGGTGCAGAAAAATTCACCAGAATGCAGGAGAATAAGTGTTTAAAGCCCATATTTTTCAGACTAGAGCCAGACCAATATGGGTATTTGGGGGCCGATGCCGATATTAAAGTGAAAAAGAGCCGATTTATGAGCAGATATTTAGAGAATGATTTGGATAATAGACCTCTTTCCTGTATAAACTCCACTTCGAGCAGGCGGATATTGAAAGCTGGTGTGTATGTGGGCTATAAAACCTTTTCCTAAATGGATTATGTTAATAAATGGATTACTGTCTCAAAAAGCAGCACTTGCCTTTACAGCCTTTTAATCAATGGTACCAACTTCACCTCCTGTAATATCTTCACTTTCCTCACTAGATGAAGAACCTGAAGTGATAAAAATAATTACCATCACATTCATAGTTTGTGAGGTGGATGGATTATCTCGGCAAAGGAGAATCGCTCACTAACACAGATTTTGACTGACTATATTTTTAGTTTTAGTAGTGTATACACTCACCTAAAGGATTATTAGGAACACCATACTAATACTGTGTTTGACCCCCTTTCACCTTCAGAACTGCCTTAATTCTACGTGGCATCGATTCAACAAGGTGCTGAAAGCATTCTTTAGAAATGTTGGCCCATATTGATGGATAGCATCTTGCAGTTGATGGAGATTTGTGGGATGCACATCCAGGGCACGAAGCTCCCGTTCCACCACATCCCAAAGATGCTCTATTGGGTTGAGATCTGGTGACTGTGGGGGCCATTTTAGTACAGTGAACTCATTGTCATGTTCAAGAAACCAATTTGAAATGATTCGAGCTTTGTGACATGGTGCATTATCCTGCTGGAAGTAGCCATCAGAGGATGGGTACATGGTGGCCATAAAGGGATGGACATGGTCAGAAACGATGCTCAGGTAGGCCGTGGCATTTAAACCATGCCCAATTGGCACACAGTTTTTCCTTGCCTCTGTCGCCTAGTGCTTGCTCTTGGTGGGAGTTGTTGGGTTTCTGTAAATAACATCACAGAGTACGGTCTAGACCTGCTCTTTTATGAAACGCTGTGAGATAACTGTTGTTGTGATCAATAGCCAATAATGTTTTTTAATGCAAATTCTGAAAGTATTCATTATTGGTCACTTGATAGGCACAGGGTCTTGTTTTATATCACAATTAGCAGTGAAAAGAAATGCATGTTTTCCACCAGGGCAGTAAAGTGGGAAGTTTAGCTGCTGATCTGAGCGTTCCTGCTGTTACTATTATTGTCAGTAATATTCATCGGCACATTTCTGTCCACGTAACAAAGCCACAACTGAGCACTGGAACATAACTACTTGAAATTACAATCCAGCTAAATAGTTTTTCAAAGTTTCATTGGCTGATCTGAGCTTCGTCACTGGAAGCTGCTGTTTTCTTGCTAATTAGTGATCAGCTGATTGTCTCACGAACGTAACGGACAAAGCCAAAACAGAGCGCTGGAGAGAGAGTAACTACATGAAGTTAACACCACAAGTCAAAGCACAGCGCTGGACAATAAACCAATCCAAATAACCTTACATGATTTTTCTATCAAGGCAGTAAAGGTTTAGCTGGCTGATGCTTCCATGCTGCCAATTAACGTAACTGATCAACTGATTGTATTGCGAACATGACCGGCAAAGCCAAACCACAGGCTTGAGAATAAGTAGGCGACATGAAATTAATCCATATTTCACACCACTGACAGGGGAAACACGTCTCTGTGATTATGGCCAGCTTAGCTAAAACTTTAAAACACTTTGTTCGTTCGTTGTCAGCTATTGTAGAAACATGCTGACAAAATACAGCGACCGGTTCATTATGTAAAGGTCTTAGGGTTAGAGGCCTTAAGTAACTTGTTTACAGGCTCCCGCTGTCAACCGCTTTTACCAGAGTTTGTAGCCTGGACAATCTGGATTTACAGTGACGACTGTATCTAAAGAAGACTTAGAGTCCCCTTAGGGTTAGAGTCCCTAAGTAATAACTAAGGGGGATAGAGTGGGACATGGGGAATCAAAGGAGTAAAATAAGCAAAGGTGGGAGACCTGCCTGTTTTTGTTCTCTATTTAACTTTGAAAGCTTTTATATATTTCCCTGTTGCTTTTGTTTTATGTAAAGCACTGAATTATCTTGTTGAAATGTGCTATACAAATAAACCTGCCTTGCCTTGCTTTTAGACACCACTGAAAACATAGTTATGGATCTTATATTGCAAGTAAAAGTACAGATTTAAAAAGTACAATGTACTCAACTGCAGTAACATAATTGTAATTTGTTGCTGTCCACCTCTGTTACTTATTTAGTATTCAATACATACTGAGTGTGTGTACTCATTATGTGGTACAGTATGTTGTGTGATTTCAAAGATGTGCCATGTGTCATTCACGGTTTTAGATGGCTTGCTCCACCATGACATCTGACTTACTATTTCTCTCTGTTGATATAGAGAAAGACAGGAGAAGATGGACTCAAACATCACCGCTGTCAGCACTGTGACAAATCCTTCACATCATCTGGATATTTGAAGATTCATCAAAGACTTCACACTGGAGAGAAACCGTACAGCTGTGACCAGTGTGGGAAAGCTTGCACTACATCAGGTGCCCTAAAAATCCACCTACGTGTTCACACTGGAGAGAAACCATACAGCTGTGACCAGTGTGGAAAAGCTTACACTACATCAGGTGCCCTAAAAATCCATCTACGTGTTCACACTGGAGAGAAACCATACAGCTGCGACCAGTGTGGGAAAGCTTTCACTAGACTAATTCATCTAATAGACCACCACCGTGTTCACACTGGAGAGAAACCGTACAGGTGTGAACAGTGTGGAAAAAATTTCACTCAGTCATCTAGCCTTAAACACCACCAACGTGTTCACACTGGAGAGAAAATATACAGGTGTGAACAGTGTGGGAAATATTTTGCTCAGTCAAGTCACCTAAAAATCCACCAACGTGTTCACACTGGGGAGAAAATGTACAGATGTGAACCGTGTGGAAAAACTTTCACTACATCAGGTGCCCTAAAAAAACACCAACGTGTTCACACTGGAGAGAAACCATACAGCTGTGAGCAGTGTGGAAAAAGGTTTGCTCAATCAGGTGACCTAAAAATCCACGAACGTGTTCACACTGGAGAGAAACCGTACTGGTGTGAACAGTGTGGGAAAACTTTCACTACATCAAGTAACCGGAAAATCCACCAACGTGTTCACAATGGAGAGAAACTGTACAGCTGTGACCAGTGTGGAAAAATTTTCTCTACATCAGGTAACCTAAAAATCCACCAACATGTTCACACTGGAGAGAAACCGTACTGGTGTGAACAGTGTGGAAAAACTTTCAGTAGATCAGAGTCCCTAAAAAACCACCAACGTGTTCACACTGGAGAGAAACCGTACAGCTGTGACCAGTGTGGAAAAACTTTCACTACATCAGGTAACCTAAAAATCCACCAACGTGTTCACAGTGGAGAGAAACCGTACAGCTGTGGCCTATGTTGCAAATCTTATACAGACAGGAGAACCCTTAGAAGACACAAATGCATCCACAAAGCATCAGAGTGACAGTTTTCACAGAGCCGAACTAGCGTTTTTCATCTGTCCTGAATAAAACCACCTGTTATCATGTGACAGTGCTGGACTAACATCATGTGATGACAGCTGAGGAAGTTTGATTTGGAAATTTGAGTAAATGTGCAGTGTAGGCACAGTCTGTCCGTTGAGTCTGTTGTTTCTGCAACCACTGGAAAAGTGAAGGCGGTTAGCCCTAGCTAACATTTCGCCTGTACAGCACGTTGTTTTCTTTTGGCTGTAATGTCAAGTTAGCTAAATTAGTACTGAGTAATGTAATTAGTTGCGTGACATTACCACCTAACTTGTCGAGAAATGACAACATCAGGTTCAAGCTACACTGGTGTGGTGTCCTGTACACATACTGTACATCCTGATAGTTAAATTATATTTCAGTGTCCAGAGGAGTCTGACAACTGGTTGTTAAAGGAAGGACGCTGGTGACCAGGAGGAGCTGAGGCTAGAAAAGTAAAAAAAAGATGCATCAAGATGGATCGCCGCCCTTTGAATTTTAATCAAATCAAACCGTGAGGTGCCAAGAGATTCTCATCCCTACTGCCCAGTCAGTTTTCCCATTCAATTACTTTAAAATGTTCTTTAAAAAGTTTTGTGGAGCCATGATGTCTCCAATTGTCCAGTGCATCTGTTAGGGCCTGTCCATGGTTGGCAACAGGTCTTCTCTTGAGTAATCTCTCTCGAGTTTCCCTAATGTAGCCTAATTATGTTGTGTTTTTGTGCTAAAATGCAAAATGTTCAAAATTCATACAGATTGTTCATAAAGTGAAGAAACATAAATAAAAGTTTTTTTCTATGCAAAATGTGTGTACTGTTACTTAAAGCAAACAAATACATGTTATAAGTTCTTATAATTAGTTCACATGGTATGATGTCCACCTGTAATAATAGGGACAGACATTTTAACACTTAAAACAAAGACATGCTGTATAAGATTAAACATTTCTATAAGCTATTCCATTTTATATCACTAATTCTAAATTGTGATTGAAGTGTATTTATAACGAGGCAGAGTCGATGCTGTAATTAACTGTGGAACATGGTCATAGATTCTTGGCGCATATTGGTATAAACTGGTATTACTTATAAAACATTAAGTCAAAAGGTTATGAACTCTGAACTCTGGCGGTCATCCAGAATTCATAGAACCGTAGTTACATACTTAAGCATTATATCGTGTTATAAATATATAAATAAGTCATTATAGCGATGACCTTCATAGAAAGTGTTAGCATCTGGTCTTATAGAGACAGTGGTGCAGAGCTTTGTGTCACACCTTGCTCCAAAATCTTCTACGTGTGAAACTAGTTTATCGTTCAGTGAGCCCTGGAGCACGAAGCATCTGCATTTCTTGTTTCTCCACTTGTTTATTCAACGAATAATGAACATATAATGAAGAATTTTAAATCTGTCCAGTGAACTTCCAAAGGAACCTCTGCTGTCCCGTGACCTTAACAGAACTCAGGAGGTCAGTAATGGAATGACAGTTGGATGACAGTTTCTTGATTTGACAGACCTGCAAGAAAGGTCAAGAGCCAACTCTGACAACCTGAGACAGTTTTAAGAGAACCTGATACCACCATCTTAAAAATCAACATCTCATGAGCTCTGGTGTCCATCAAGTGACTGAGAGACTGGCTTTGCAATGCACAACTGAAACGTACACTAATCAATATACGTATTATGCCTGCATAACCACAAAAGAAGGTGAGGTTTTGAGTTAACATGCTGATCTGGCTGCAGGACTGTGGAATAAATATAGTCCCAAATGTATTGTAGCTGTGTGAAAAGCATTTGTAGTTGTGGAATTGTTTTGTACTTGTCCATTAGAATGTTTGAATGTGTAAAATTTTTTGTTACACAGCTACAGAATCTGTTAAGTTAATTCAAATCTTTAAATGTGTAAATCGAGAGTTATGTATGTAACTACGGTTCTATGAATTCTGGATGACCGCCAGAGGCAGTGCTTAACATTGGATGTTATCCGTCTCGCGCACGTGCAGGTCGAGTATTTAATATGAAGAAATTCACCTGTGACCTGGGATGATGTGGGGCATAGCTTATATAAGCCCATGTCATCAAGAAAAATGTCCCATAAATGTAACAACCGTAGTTACATACGTAACTCTCGTTCTTTTTCATTCTTCCTGACCGCCAGAGGCAGCGCTTAACACTGGATGATTACCGTCGTCACGAGTAATCCCACCTTACCGGGAACGGTCAGAGGGTTCCCGCAAGTTGTTTGTCCAATAAACAAGGAGAAGCTGAACATGAAAAATCCAGGGAGGATCTCTCCCAGGGAGGGAGACTGAAGTTTTACCTGGAAGACTGAATAAACATCATGAGGACAAAGAATCAAAAGGAGCTGTCAGCCCTTCCCTTCTGATCTCTCTCTCTGGGATGTCTCAGATGACGTCTCTCACTCTGGTGAAGTCGGAGAAGAAACTCAGCAGATGGACAGAAATCCTCAAGATGCGTTCTGAATAAAGTGTCTTGGGAAGAGTTCTCTTTTTAACCCAAGTGTGAATTAATGTCCAATCAGTGGTTCAGTGATGTAATAATCTCACTCAGCACATGCTGTTTGATGGTTGGTGCAGTTCTGATGATGGGAGCATCAAATTTGAGGTAATTAGAAGTTGAAAGTCTTTGTCTGTGAATATTTTTTCGAAGCAGAAACTAAGGATCAATGTATTGGGAATTCACAGCTCAGGTAATAAGACTGATGAATCTAATTTCTTTCATTTCTCCTTTGATTGAAGGTGGGGCCCCAGAAGATGTTACGAGTGCAGATATTGAATTTAAAGCGAGTTGACACACACATCGCTGCAGTGCCCACATAGCCCCGCTTTCTCTCACTCGCAGCAGCGTCTTCTCGTGTCTCTTTTGCTCCGGGTGATTCACGTAGGGCTGAGTTACACTCCTGCTGCAGGACCATCACATCCACAACCTCCATAAAGAACCTGGAGAGGTTGGAGACGTCTTCCCTTTTAACATCACTGAAGTATTAACCAATACTGCCAGACCTCCTGTCTCCGGCCTCCAGCCCAGCTCCAGCCCAGCTGTGTCGACGCCGGCCTCCAGTTCAGCTGCCCTGTCACCGGTTGCAGGCCCCCCTGCCTGTGGCCTCCTCTCCTGACTTTGCTGTTGAAGAGTTTGTTAATTTTTCTGCCCTCCTCCTGACCTCCCTCCACCCACTCTGGGTGTGTTTGAACATTTAGTTTTTCTGGTTGTGGGCAGTGTTGGGCAGTAACGCATTACTGTAATAACATTACTTTTCCCACTAACTAGATGTGTAACTAATTACTTTTCTAAAACAGTAATATTATTAAAGTTACTGAGACAAGTAACGCTGCGTTACTCGTTACTGAATGCACCATCCTTGACGTGAATCCACGACTGTGCTGCAGCTCTGCGGGACTGGAATATGTTGTTTATGTCCGCTGTTAGCAAAACACCAAAGGAAGAAAGGAGAACTAAGGAGAGAGGCGTTCTTTGTGACCCTACTTCCTCAGCATCTGACCACCTCTTCAGCAGACGGCGTCAGAGTGGCAGGGCTCATCGGTAGAGGGCTCAGCCTGTGCTTATAGAACTAGGGTTACCATATCATAGCCTTCATTCTATCTCACACAGACTCCGCCCTCTACTTGACTCTATGGTTACAGTGGGTGGAGCCCGATGACTGTCCGCCCTAGCCAAAGTCCACCACACCAACCCGGTTGGCCACAGGCCGGCCAAAGCCCAAGACCACCACATCACCTAGAGACAGAATGGTGGGACACCCCTGAGAAGGCCGCTGGACCGATAGGGGCTTGGCCTGACCATTAACACCTGCACTGCCCTGACTTCTCACTGAAATGTTAGGCACTGCCAGCATATGTTCCCCCTCTACACCCAGTAGTTACTAGATCCTCACTTTTCAGATCCTAGGTTGCACTTGCGAGCTGGATCCCGAGAACGAGCCCGATATATCCAAGAGATAGAAACGCACAAACGGGCACAGTAAGGGCCAAGATGCCATTGAGCAGATCTCTTCGACACACACCCTGCTGAATAAGGGTCGTAGACACTTCCAAACTTCCGAGTGGAATGTGCAAGCAGCGCTATGTCTGTTCCCGCCCGTGTACAGGCTTGAGAGATTGACTCACAAAGCCAGCTGGCCAGGCTCTTCTTGGACAGGGTTTTACTGACTGCACTGAAACAGACGAACAGCTGACCAGTGCATCAAATGGGTCCTGTGTGCTTCAGCAGAAGTTACTGGATCTCTGCAGCCAGGAATTCCACTTCCTCCTAAGAGGATAGACTGGCTTCCATTATACCCAGAAAAAACAGGAGGTATGCAGCAGAACTGAAGAGAGTAGCCTCGTCTCAGAATGCTGTCCACCCAGCTTGTCAGCATGCAACGGCGTCGCCATTCTGCATGAAAATGTGTACACATGAACAACACATCTTCGACACTCTCCACCGCCAAACTTTCCATAAATGGAAGTTTAGCTCAAGGGGGGGCCGACGTCGAACGGGCTATAGTGTCCCTGAACGCACCAGAGCCGGTTACTCCCTGGTGTCTTTGAATGCACCACAGCTTGCTGCTCTGTGGTGTACTTGAATACCCCACTGTCTGTTGATCCATGGGGTCCTTGAACGCACCACAGCTCGCTGAGCCGCTGTTCAGTGTGATAAGTTCCACAGGCCACACTGATGGAAGAGACGTGTTGTCTGGTTGCGTATCTCCAGCTATATCTGACCTAGATTGGTGTTAGCTCGACTCATGCTGTTGCAGCTAGTCAGCTGAACGCTGCTCTGGTTCGGTTGAGCATATATGTTGACAATGTGGTTTTGTGTTTTAGGAACACACACACTCACACAGAGTGCTAGCAGTGTTCCCGTGGACTCATGAGTGCACGACAGGAACACAGAGTTAGCTTGCATTGCTGCATTGTGTCACCATCATGGCAGCCGCCCTTCATTCGACTGCCAGGCGATGTAGGCGACACGTTGTGCAGGCCGGACAGCCAGCTATCAAGGAGGAATCCCTGGTCCTACTACTGTCTCGCTCGGATGCCACCAGGAGAGGGATGTGGGACATGGGCTTCTGTCCCAGTGGTTTGACTCGCGCAGCAAAGACACGGGCCCTCCCACTGTCTCTCTCTCTCTCTCTCTCTCTCTCGAGATTAGCAAGGAGAGCAGTGTGTGCTGTAGGTCGGATCATTAGCTTAGCATCGGTGAACGTGCAGTTTTGTGGAGACTGAAGCGCGGCCTTGAATGTACCACTGCCGGTGTGACTGTGGTTGACACGTCACTCGGCGTTGACGTCAGCCTCAAGCTCACAGCTTTCATGTGAAGCAGTGGCAGGGTAGACAGCCTCGCCTGCTGCAACAGGCGCTACGAGCCGCTCATGGAGGAAACGAAACCAACCGAAGCAGAGAGCAATCTATTTTGTCCTTCTATACCGAGAGAGGCCTTGACTTTGGCTGTCTCTCTCCAGCTGTTGCAGACTAGCCTAGCTGCGCTGTGACTGCTCTGCGAAAGACATGTTGGCAGGGTGGTGTGTCTGTTTATGTAACATGCTTTCACCACCGGTGAGCTAGCAACGAGCCTGTGCGAGTCCTCGTGGGCACACTGGGAATGCAGAGTTACAGCAGAATGCTGCATTGCCCAGTTTTCACAGTAATAACTGCTCGTTTCTCGGCTGTCACGTCTTGGAAGTGGACCATTGTGGCCCCGCGGACTTGGCAGTCAGGCAATGGCGTCTTGTGGCAGAGTCCCCAGCTGCATGTCGGCCG